CCTGCCATTCAATATGATCATGGTTAATCCTCTATCTCAACGTCATATTCCCTAGCTCTTTTCAGACCCCTTGCTGCCTTTTATATCTAAACATTTATCAGTCTTTCTCTTGAACATACTCAGTGAGCTGGCCTCCTTAGCCTCTGTGGTAACGAATTTGAGTGAAGGAATATTTCCTCATCTCAGTCTTTAATGGCCAACCCATTGTTGTTAGATAATGCCGCCTGGAGTGCAGTGCTAGAGGACTATGAGTGCGAAGGTGAGCTGGTTGGAAGGCTTCCCTCAGTTGTCAGGGACAACAATTCAGCAACCCATTATTCCTATACTCTCTAAACCTCACTTCTCACTCTTTACCCACTCTCATGGCCTCTTAGACTCCCCATCCCACTCCATGTTCCCTCATGCTTCTGTGCACTATTACATTCCTATAATCAAATTATGTTTAAATCTTTAACTACTGTAATGTAGTGTAAGAAAAAATCTTTTTACTTTGAGAGAAGGTGATGGCATAGTGCTAGAAGCTTGAACTTCAATTTGGTTTCTGAATGGATTGTAGATTTTTCCTTTCCCCATCTGATTTCCTGTCAGTGTTCCTGTAGATTGTCTGTCTGTTCTGTACGTTGGTTTCTGCTGGTACAATTAGAGAGGCCTTAGGTATGTTCACTGCCACTATTCACTCTGAGGTTGTAGTCTTGCTCGCCAAGCCAGTGTGTTTGATTGCAGATGTTTCATTACCCTGATAGGTAGCATCATCAATGCTCCTCTGGTAAAGCATTGGTGTTCTGTCCTGCTTGTTATTTATATGCCTCAGTTTGCTGGGGTGGTTGGCATCACTTCCGGTTCTGTTTTCCAGTGGTTTGTATATTGGTTTCGGTTCAATGTGTTTGTTGATGGAGTTCCGGTTGGAATGCCAGGTCTCCAGGAATTCCCCGGCATGTCTCTGTTTGGTTTGTGCTGTTATGGATGTGTTGTCCCCGTCGAATTCATGTCCTTCTTTGTCCGGGTGTATTGAGACCAGTGACAATTGTATATTCAAACAAATCAATGGAACATCAATGGGATCCCCGATATCAAGACTGATAGCAGAAGCGGTAATGCAATGGTTAGAATGGACAGCACTCCCCACGATACAACCCAAACTCTGGGTCCGCTATGTACATGACATCTTTGTGATTATCAAATGCACAAGACTAGAAGAAACCCACCGACACATAAACAACATCCTCAGCAGAATAAATTTCACAAAAGAAGAAGAGAACAATAACTGACTACCCTTCCTAGACGTAATGGTAGAACGTAAGAACAATGGGGAACTCCAGACTCGCGTATAGAGAAAGACCACACACATGGACCAGATACTTAATTACACCAGCAACCAACCCCAACACCCATGAACGAAGCTGCATCAGGACATTATTCAAACGAGCCACAATACACTGTAGTAACCCGGAATTGCGCAAAGCAGAACAGAAGCATTTATAGATAACAAGGTGTAGAGCTGGATGAACACAGCAGGCCGAGCAGGAAAGCTGACGTTTAGGGCCTAGACCCTTCTTCAGAAACCTTTCTGAAGAAGGGTCTAGGCCCGAAATGTCAGCTTTCCTGCTCCTCTGATGCTGCTTGGCCTGCTGTGTTCATCCAGCTCTACACCTTGTTATCTCAGATTCTCCAGCATCTGCAGTTCCTACTATCTTAGAAGCATTTATATGGAGCTTTTAAAAGGAATGGATACCCAAAAAGCACAATCCGCCATTACCTCTGCGACAGACCACAACAAGAAGACACAACACAGCCAGACACACTAGTCACCCTACCGTACATCAGAGACATATCAGAGATGATGACAAGACTACTCAGACCCCTAGGTATCAGGGTAGCCCATAAACTAACCTGCGACAGCTACTGATGAACGTAAAGGATCCCATACCAACAACTAATAAAACTAACGTAATATAAAAAATACCATGCAAGGACTGTGAGAAACATTACACAGGCCAAACTGGAAGAAAACTAACAATAAGGATACACGAACACCCAAAAGCCAACAAGAGACACGACCATTTCTCACTGGTCTCAATACAAATGGACAAAGAAGGACATGAATTTTACTGGGACAACACATTCATAATAGCACGAGCCAAACAGAGACATGCCAGGGAATTTCTGGAGACCTGGCATTCCAACCTGGAACTCCATCAACAAACACATTGAACTGGACTCAATATACAAACCACTGAAAATGAAACCTTAAGTGATGCCAACCACCCCAGCAAACTGAGGCATATAAATAACAAGCGGGACAGAACACCAACGCTTCACCGGAGGCGCACTGATGTTACCTAGCAGGGTGACGAAACGTCTGCAACCAAACCCACAGGCTCGGCGAGCAAGTCTCCAATCTCGTCCACAACCTGAGCTGCAAATCTTCTCAAACTTTAAGCACCATGCATTCTTATTGGTATCAGTATATACTAAAACTATGTGGAGAAGGATCCCTCTCAAACTCTTTGGGAGAATGTAGGTTCAATCATAATGGTTAATAAACAGTAAGTAGGTTAATAATGCACTACTTGGTAGCTAACCATACTATATCTGAGATAAATGGCAGTCTTATGAGTCTTTTGGGCTCATTTTAATATTAAGTATACATTGCTAATTCAGCCACATGTTGTTAACACCAAGAATAATCACTGAATACATAGAATCCCTACAGTGTGGAAACAGGCCCTTTGGCCCAACAAGTCCACACCGACCCTCGGAGCATCCCACCCAGACACATCCCCCTATAACCCACCTAATCTACACACCCCTGAACACTTAGGGCAATGTAGCATGGCCAATCCACCTAGTCTGCACATCTTTGGACTGTCAGAGGAAACCAGAACACCCAAAGGAAATCCACACAGACATGGGGAGAACGTGCAAACTCCACACAGACAGTCATCCGAGGGTGGAATTGAACCCGGGTCCCTGGCGCTGTGAGGCTGCAGTGCTAACCACTGGAGAATACCAAAATCTAGTTAGCTCCTCCCAGGAGCAGTCCTTTCTAGATATTTTCTGATCTTCCTGTTCAGTGATGTTATTGACACACCTGTGGAGCAGGTGGGATTTGAACCTGGACCTCCTAGCTCAAATGTAGGGACACTATCACTGTTCCACAAGAGCCCCAAATGGACCTTTTGATCCAGATGAGCAGAATTTCTCTTGAGATATCAATTAATCCTTTCAGGTACTAACTGTCTTAAACAAGTTTCAGCCATGCCTTCATTGGAAGCATATGTGGCTCCTAATCAGTAAATTGTGGTCTGCAGTTCTGCTCCAAACACTGTGGCACTCATCTCAGTTGACAACATGAGAGCGTGAATCAAGGCCTCGTCTATCCTCAACCAACAAAACCAAAACAGATTATCTGGTCTTTTTACACATTGCCATTTGTGGGACTTTAGAATGTGTTGAGTTCATGAAAGGTGCTATAGTAATGCGAGTAATTGTTTTGTTTTATTCTGTGCTAATGAATTTTTAATGTGGTTACCTGATGGTATAAAGCGACTTTTTTTTCCCCCCACAAAGGCTCTCATGTAAACAGGTACATGGTCCTTTACTTTCCAAAGTATTTGTGTTTGAGGAGATGATGGTCTAGTGGTAATAATCCAGAGACCCTGGCAATGTCCCAGGGACCCAAGTTTGAATCCTGCCATTATAGACGGTGGAATTTGAATTCAATAAATACCTGGAACTAGGAATCTAATGATGACCATGACACCATCGTTGATTGTCAAAGAAAGCACACCCAGTTCGCTAATGTCCTTTAGGGAAGGAAACTATCGTCCTTGCCTGGGTCTGGTCTACATGTGACTCTAGACCCACAGCAATGTGGCTGACTCTAAACTGCTGTGTGGGTAAATAGAGATGGGCAGTAAATGCTGCCTTGGCCAGTGACACCCACAACCTGTGAATGAATAAAACCAAAATCAAGGCTTATCAGTGCCTTGCATTTCTGTAGTGTCTTTCATCCAACAAAATATCTTGAGGTATGCAGTCCGTAGGAGAGAACACATTTAAGAATTAGAAAAAGTAATCTTTTAAACATGGTTCTCATGGTAGATATGGCATTGTAGTAGTGCAGAGGCCTTCACTAATAAATCAGACACAAGTTCAAATCATATCACAGCAGCTAGGATACATTTAATTTAAATAATAAACTGTAACTGAATGCTCTTTAACATTAATCGTACAACTAAAAACCTATCTGGTTCACTAATGAATGCCCTATGGGGGTGTTTGGAGAGAAATGCCGAGGTGTTAACCTGATCTGTCTGTATGTTGCTCTAGAACTTTGTTGCCATTACTTCCAGTCTGGCCTGTATATGTCTACGGACTTTGGACTATATAATTAACTCTTAACAATTCTCTAACAAGCCACTCTGCTCAACAGCAATTAGAGATGTGCAAGAAATGTTGGCCTTATCAGTGAAGCTTACATTCCCAAAAATGAGCAAAAGAAAATACCTTGAGGAAGCTTTTACAGGCAAGAACTAGAACTGAGGTGGAAAAAGCATAAATGTTTAGAGAAGCAGTTCAGGAATAGAATTTAAATGACTTAAAACTCTGTCCTCAAATGAGGAACAGTGAGAGTGAGGGATACATAACAGTAGACCAAGTGTCTGACTGAGCTGAAGAATGCTTGGTGATGAAATGTATTCTTGGTCAACAATGGGACTTGCATTTTGAGGGGATTGATTGGCTCAGCAGTGTGATTCAGCCTTATCGAGATTCAGCCTTATGAGAAAGATGAAATGGCTTCTAGAGAAAGGAGCATATTACCAACGTTTTTGCCAGGAGACTCAACAGTGGTTCATTTTCCCATGCCTCAAGCACTGCTGTGTTTAGGAGTGCAATGATTCTCAGGTATATTTTCAACAATTAGATCTTACCGCGTTTAGTCCTGACAAAATAACTTGATGCCTAAGTTGTGTTCAACTCTCAGTCTGTGCTTGCAGATGGTGGGTGTGTCAGATGATGTCCATGAATATGCAGTGGCACTGAAGGACACTGAAGACAAGATTGCAAGATGTCCTGCAAAGGTAAGAGAATAGGCCCTTTAGTACAGACATGATGTTCATGAATATGCTATTTCACTATGGCCCCCAAATTTTTCCTGTCCAAATAAGCCCTCTAATTTTAATAATTTGCTAGTGAAGTTGTTTTCACTGCTGTTTTAGGGAGTGTTTTCCAGATTATCATAATTCACCATTTCACAACATTTCTCCCAGCATCTTCTGCCAATTTCCTGAAATCTCTCCTCTTCTTACCAAGCATCCTGTTACTATAAACAGTTTACCATTGTTTATTCAATCAAGTCCATCATAATTTTAAAGATGTCTATATTATCTTAATTTTGGCCACTTTATTTCCAGTAAAACAATCCCAACTTCGCCAACTTCTCCATATAAAATCGTCCCTTTTTTTTCTCTGATAAGACTCCTCCAAGGTCTCTCCAGGCTTCCTAAATAGTGATGAGGGATTTTGTAGTTGCAGGAATTGATGGACGTTTCTGTGGCTGCAAAGTGCTCCAAGAGGGGAAAGTAAACAGTCAAAAGTAGTGGTCGACATCATCAAACGACAAAGGGAGAAAAAGTTTAGAAGATGGGATGGCAATAGCCGAGTCATATTACCGCTAGACTATAAACCCAGAATGTCAGCTAATGTTCTGGAGACCCAGATTCAAATCCCGCCATGGCAGGTGGCAGAATTTGAATTCAGTAAAGAATCGCAAATTAAGGGTCTAAAAATGACCAAGAAACCATTGTCGACTGTCGGAAAAACCCATCTAGTTTACTAATGTCCTTTACGGAAGGAAATCTGTCATTCTCACCTGGTCTGATCTACATATGGCTCCAGACCAACAGCAATGTGGTTGACTGTTAACTGCCCTCTGAGAAATTCGGGATGGGCAACAAATGCTGGCTTAGCCCGAGACACCTACATCCCATAAATGAATAAAAACAAAGGAGGAAACTAGCGAGCAGGATCTCAAAGGGAGTAATTTCCATATTACTCTGTACCACAAGACAGAAGTAGAATAGGGCAGATAATTGTGTGTTTTGATAGACGACACGAGGGATATCTTTAGATTCCTGGGACATCGGGAGCAGTATTGGAATAGGACCTATCAATGCTGGGTGGGTTGCACTTTAACAGAACTGGAACCATTGCCCTTCTGGGTGGTACTTTTGGAGAGGGTTTAAGACAATTTGGGGAATGTGGGATTGGGCTCTGTAAACCAAAGCATAGCATTAGAAAGGGGAATCTAGGTGCAAAATGGTTTGGGGAGAATTACACAACACTAGAATAAGAAATAGTAAGTTATTAGGTCGGTCCAGAATAAGAGGGAACATAATAAGTTAGGTTTAAATTGTGTTACAGTCCGTGTAGAAACCAATAACCTTAAAAGAAAAAAAAAACTATGATCCAAATGGAAGGAACCAGCATGCAAGATGTAACCTTTTAAAACTTTTGAAATAAAATCCAAAATCAACATAAAATAAGCATGCGTTAACAGACAAATGATATTTCAATAACAATATTATATGTCACTTTAAATAATCGATGCTGTTACTTTTCAAGAAGGATAGGAGACTGAAGTGCGTAGCAACAGCAGAAGCTTTATTACGCAAGGTATTCTGTCTACAAGGCAGCAAAGTTAGACTGAGCTGTTTCCCTCCGGAACAGCTGATGCCATTATCATAACGTCACATAATTGTGACGGCCCACTGTACTTACCGAATACACAACATCCCGCCCTCTTTACACTGGAGATTCCTGCAATGAGAATAATTCACAATATTTACAAGCATATGTACAACAGTCAGAAGATAAGACACCCCAGAGGACGTTGACTCCCACACGGCTGCCGGAGTACCCCAGGCATCTGTTATTTTTCTTGTTGCTTTTCAGGCCATTCCCTTTACTCCAGACAACCTTTCTGTTGGCTATTCTGCCTCATATTTATAAATGGTGGTTCCTTTCTCTTCAGTTTTTATGTCATATAATTCTTTAGTAAATTGATTTACCACCTCATTTACAATGACAGTGGCTCTGGATTTAGAAGTCTCTGTTTCGCATGCATATTCTCCTAAATCCTTTGTAGTGACTTGACAACCTATTAATTCATTTACAGTTCCTTTGCTGAGATATTCCATGTATATGACTCTTCCTTACTTTCTTGTCATCCTTAAACCACTAAGGAATCAGACTTAGAGGTTTCACAAAATAAATTTTAAAAAAAAACAAAAATTGCTGGAGAAACTGAGCAGGTCTGGCAGCTTCTGTGGAGAGAAAACAGAGTTAATGTTGAGTCCAGTGACCATTCTATAGAACCCTTCTTCAGTTCTCTCCAGAGATGCTGCAAGATCTGCTGAGTTTCTTCAGCAATTTCTGTTTTTGTTTGTTTCAGATCTCCAGCATCTGTGATTATTTGTCTTATTTTAGAGGTTTCACAGCTCAACACAAACGATTACTATTGCCACCAAGTTCTTAAGTTGCTTTGTGAATCCTGCTGGTTTTTTTCCCTTACCATCAACGAGGCTTTTGAACTGAGATTTTGCATGTAGAAAACTACTTTTCCAGCATCTGAAAGAGCTGTCTACTTCTCTCAAATCATTCATTGCCATCCACTAACACACCATTTACATTCCAGTAATTTTCATCAGTGCTTTCATGAGAAGGTATGTGTTCAAAAGATCCGTTTTCACCTTCTTTAATCTCTGTGCTGTTTAGCTGTTCTGTGATTCTGATCAGATTTTGGATGGTGACCTTAGCACTTCCTCTGTCTGCGCCTCTGTCACTGTGTACAATTCGGTATCACTTCTATTCAGGAGGTAAACTGTAAGACAAAGTGTTTCTCTAGCTTCAGTAGTTCATATTTTTTGCTTGAACCAAGAATCACATCATCCCTTTTCCAGATAGGATTGACTTTGGGCTTTGATACTTCACACATAATGTTAACTTTGAAGAAAGCACTGGTTCGTTGGTCTCAAGTTGCAGGTGTACCTTCTACTATCCTCTGGTTTAGGTTTGTCACTAACCAGTTCAACGACAGATCGTTTTGCTTTGTTTGATGTTAGGCTGAAGTAGATTGGATCCTTTTGACCGTGTGCTGCTGTATCTGACCAGCTACTTTGACAATGCAGGATGGCAGCATCATCCTCTTGAGCTTCTTTATCCTTAAGCTTTTGACTGAAGATTATAGACAAAGCTATAACTGTCAGGTGAGCTCTTGATTGACATTGCTAATGCTCACAGGTGTAGTGGTCAAGGTCGATCTCCTGGAGCAGGTTCATTATAAGGCTTAGTAAAGTACCAAACTGGCTCAGTTCATGCTTTTTGTTTGGTTTGATTTCTGCCTCGATCTTTGAACTGGCACGTTTCTGTAGAATTTGTGATAGACCAGTCTCATAATGTGACAAGTGATTTACTTTAGGCCATTTGAGTTTGATTTTCTCCAAACACATTCTTCCCAATAAAGCTGGAAGATTTCCTTTGATAATGTGTAAGGACAGATCTTCAGACTGACCATACAACTGAATTTTCATTGATACGACCCCTCAAAAGTACAGCTTTGCCTGCGTATGTTCTTAGTACAATTTTTGAGGGTCGCAGTGCAACGTGACTCAGCTACTTATGAGATACTCTTACAGGTATCAGTGAAAATGCTGTCCACCTACCTTCTTACCAATTTGCCATTCAGTAAGTGAATAAGTCAGTGTCATTTAGTGTCACTTGCAATGGCCAAAATGTTTAATAACTTCAAACTCAGAGTCTGAGATTTTCTTATGTCCTTTTTGAATAGATTTTCTTTCTACTCTTTGGTTTAGATCTTTTCACTGTATGCTGTCATTTTTCTTCCTCAAGCACACCCGTTCAATGTGCCCTTTGTTTACCGGTTGCTGCATACAGTTTCTTTACAATAGCAATTTGCTGCTGCATGACCTATTTGTCTACACTGATGGCAGTTTTGAGTCTGCATTGGTGCTTGTCTCTCAGCTGCCACTTTGTGAACTCACAAGCTCGAGCTTAACTTCCTTGGCTACTAGTTCCATTGAGACTGCGTTTTCCAGTGCTTTCTTTAAGTCAAGGTTCCTTTCCATCAGTAATCTCTTTTGGAATGCTTCACATCTTAAACAACACACTAGCCTGTCTGTGATAGCATCACTTAAGTTGTCTTTGAATTCGCAAATTCCACTAACTTCTTTTAAAATTACTGCCAACTCCGAGATGGATTCACCACGTTGGTTGTGTTTGTGGAATCTGAACCTTTAAGCAATCACCAGTGGTTTTGGTGAAAAATGGTTCTGTGCTATTCCTATTATTTCTTAAGTTTTAGAACCTGGTTTCCCTGGCTGTACCAGACTCCTCACATTAAAAGCTTAGAACCACACAGTACCCAGAAACACAAGATTATATCTGCTTCAAGGTTGCTAGCTTGAACAAACTAATAGAATCTCTCTGTTTAGAAGTTACATCCATCTACATTTTCATCATATAGTCCTATGGCATCAAAATTTCCTGCGATTTAGTTATATTTTTTTAAAATGGGAAGGACCAACGTAGTGCAATTTACCATGATGATGCATTACCTTGTTTCCTCATGTTTAAAACAAGGGATTCCTGAGCCTGCCTAATTCTTCCCAAGTCTAAACTCCTAGCTGAAGACACATCTTTCCATTTTAGAGTACTTGTTACTTAAGTGATCCTTCAGGGTGGGAGCACATGGCAAGCTTCCTCTGCCTCTTTCCTGGGCAAATTTATTTTTATTTTCTTTTATTGACAATGCCTGCTTTGTTGCAGTGATGGGGTTTTTTGATTTCTTTTCTTTTTTTATCAAAGTATCTCTGAGATCAGGAACACAATTCTGTTTTTATTGATGAATTAATGGATTGACTTGGTAGCAGATTTTATCCTCGTATCCAGTTTCCTCCTTGTGGTACATTTTTGAGAATGACAGGAGGCCAAAGTGTTTAACAACAGAATGAGCTTTATTATATGATGTGCACACTCTATAAGGCAGGCAGCAAGCTTAGACTGAGCTGTTTGCCTCAAATGGCCAGTGATGTCGTTATAATGTTATTTGATCAGACCTTTAAAGTGACAGTCCACTATACCTACCAAATACACAACAGATACAACAAAGCCAGCTCTCAGAAATGTCTCAGCATCATTTCTAGCTAAAGGTGGCACCGTGGCCTCTCAAAGCCTTTTAAACTCTGCCTCCTGTACATACGGTTTCTCACTTGTTCCACTCAGTGGATTTGGCCCTCAAATCACTTCCCATCAGCAGCTCTAACCCATCCAAATTTCCCAGGATATATTTACATCATGCGCACACACACACACTCCCTTTCATCTCAACTGTCCTGTTTGTATAACTCTTTTCTAGAGATAACAAGGTGTAGAGATGGATGAACACAGCAGGCCAAGTAGCATCAGAGGAGCAGGAAAGCAGATGTTTTGGGTCTGGACCCTTCTTCAGACCCTTGTTCCTACTATCTCTAAACTCTTTTCTAGAGTTGCTTTTTGATTGACTGACAACATAACACACTGGTTCATGCTACAATTATTCAACTCATTAGTGTGCCTGAGCTGTTCACAGCTTTAGGTTCCAATTCTTTCACAAATTGCTTCACCAAGTTTGCCTGTCCATGTTCTTTGCTGACTTCTCCCATACTGAATTTTTATTTTTTCCTGTTGTACACCAGGAATTCTGTGTGCATTCTGCAGCAAAACAAACTGAAATTTGGTGCTGTTATGAGCATTGGGTTTTGTTTCAAATAGTTTATGTTTAAATGGTTTCATTTAACTCAGGATTAAATTGAGTAATTTAGAGAGGTGGATGTGAGCCCCCTATGATATCCCCCTGCAGACAAGCCAATGTGATCTGGTTGCCATGGGGACAGATTCAGGTCAAAATTTATTGTAGCTGTTCATGGCAATATTCATGTGGAACTCTGGCATGAAAGCAAACAGCATCTTGGCCCTCTGTGCTGTAACCATTTTATAACTTAAAGTTTTTTACCCAACATTGGATAAAATACTCCAGCAGAGAACTAACCAGAAAAGTTGAGCATAGCTTTAGAAAATCTCAGCATAGCTTCGTTCCTATTGCTCTCAGTGCTTTTATTTGTAAATTTAGAAAATGCTATATGCTTTCCGAACAGGTTTATCAATTATATCCTGGCTGAATGGACCCAATTAGATAGTGGTTAGGGAAATGGCTGACCCTCTGACACCCACAGCAAAGGGCTACTCTTATTGCAGGGCTGCTGGTGGTTTATGATCATCCAGGGCTCTCCAGCTTTACCTTGTGACTTTTATCCTTTCAGAGGAAGGATATTCTGGATGAATTGACAAAGAGCCAGAAAGTCTTCTCTGCAAAGCTGAATCACCTGAGTCGCCGGTTAGCCTGGATAAATGCCACCATCTACTCTAAGGTAAAATGGACCACTGTGCTAGAAATATTGATGTGAAGAGCCACCCCTCTTTCACTGGGAAACCTGGAGTATGGAAAAATATTTGTCTGTTGAGTCAAAAGCTGTTCATTTGTTGGGTGCAGATAACACTTGCTCCCTGAAAACTGTTGTCTGTATTTAATGGAAACATGCAGGATCATAGGAGTAGGCCATTTAGCCCATTGAGCCTGCCCCATCATTCAATACTATCATGGCAAATCTAACACTGCAATCCCTTTTACTTACCCTATCCTGATAACCCTGTATATCTCTGACAATCAGAAATCTATCAATCTCTACCTTAACCTTACTCAAAGAATGAGCCTCCTCAGGCTCTGTGGTAGAGAATTCCAAAGGTTCACAACCCTCTGAGTAAAATAATTTCTCCTCATCTCAGATCTAAGTGGCAAACCACTTACTTTTAAACTGTTTGCCCTGGATTTAGACTCCCAACCAGGGGAAACATCTTGTCTGCATCTACCCTGTCTATCTCTAAGTATTTTGTAGATTTGTTTTGTAGATTTCAATGAGATCACCTCTCATTCTTCGAAAGTCTAGAGAATTCAGGCCACGTTTGCCCAGTCTCTTACCATTGGATAGTCCAGCTGTCCTGGAAAGGATTCTGGTGAATCTTCACTACACTCCCTCTACTGAGATGTTGCTGAGTGGAGTGCAGAATCCTGTTTCCTCAGCAATAGGATCAACATTGTAATGTAGCCCAATCATTCTAGTTCTTCAGTTGTTTCAGCTTAATAGCTTGGCGAAGTGCTTTAGTGCTGGGTATACATTACACAGGATTTGGGCAATGTTCAAACGTACATTTCCCAGAGGCTTGTTGTTTGTGCTCTTGATGGAATAAAGTTTGTTCTTGTTTCAGGAGAAGATGCTGGACATCTACTGGCTGCTCCAAGTGTGCATACGAGTAATCGAACATAGTGACCGGACCACGACATTGTTCGCTTTCATGCCAGAGTTTTACATGAACGTTGCTATGAATAGCTACAGTGCTTTGAAGAATTACTTCAGTCCGGTCAACAGCATGGATGAGCTGCCTGGTAAGTGCAGAACATGTGGGGCATTGATCAATTAGTTGTTTTTTTGCTAGGGGAAAAATAATCCTGCTTCTGGACAATTTGCCTGTGTACCTGCTGTGTACTTAGCTTCCTGTGTAAGGTTAAACCTTTTGTGGAAGTTCAGTTAGTGCAGAGTAGAACGTTGATTGCCATATGTACAATTGTCTGGGTGCTACACCCTGGGGTTCCTTTGCTAAATCTCTCTACCTCACCCTGCTCCATTAAGATCCTTTTAAAAACCAATCTCTTCTCCGGCCTTTGAGTCAATGGTCCTCATATCTCCTTATGCGATTTGGTGTCCATTTGTTTTTATAATACTCCTGTACAAGCCTTGGAATGTTTTACTTCATTAGAATTAAGTAGCTTGTTTAAGTGTAAAAATTAAGTTGCTGGAAAAAAAAACAAGCCCACTGTTCTTTGTGGAGCAGCTTTAAGAACGCCCTTAAGTCTCTAATCTATCTTAGCCCTGCCACACTTGCTTATCATCCCTTAGCATCTCCGACACCCACCCTCACTTCCTCAGAACAATAAGTAGAGTTGGTCCAGATAACATATAGAAAGCAGCAGCTGGAGCTGGCCATTCAGCCCTTGTAGCTTGCTCCCCTATTAATTATGATCCTGGCTGATCATCCAACTCTGTAGCATGTATCTACTTTCTCTGTATACCCTTTGATCCCTTTAGCCATAAGGATTATATCTAACTCCTTGAAAAAATTCATTGTTTTGACCTCCAGGATCATCACTCTCTGGGTAAAGAAATTTCTCCTCATCTCAGTCCTGAAAGGCCTGCCCCATATCTTTTGACTGTGACCTCTGGATTCCCTGGTTATTTGGAACATCCTTCCTGCGTTTACTGCTCAAATTTTATCAGTCTCAGTGAGATCCTGCACCCGGTGAATTTGTTCCTAACTAATCCAATTCATACATCAATCCTGCCGTCTCTGATGGCTCAACCCAGTATATTAATATATGTAGCTTCTGATACAGGTATTTGTTCACATGGTCAGTACCTTGCTTATTGCTAACAACCGAAGGGATACCCTGTTTGATAAAATGGGACTCGCAACATCATGTCCAACCTTAGACATCAATCTGCAATTAGACAATCTTTGCTGGAAATTCCTGGGAGTGTGAAGAATTGTGTTAACAACAATTTAGGCTTGTCAGTTGGGCTCACATCATGATACTGAAAGTGACATATATTTATGCACATGCCCATGTGTGCTCTCTGCACCTGTTATAACTCAACAAAATAGATGATAGCCACTCGCTTTTGGGATAAATGCCTTGACCAATCAGTCAACCTGCTTGGTTTAAAAATTTATACAAGACCTGACAGTTAACTGTCATGCATAAGTTTTTGGCTTTCTCCATGGCAACACCTCTATCAATAATAGTTTACTTGGCAACCAATCAGCACTGTCCTCTGACACAATATAAACGGTAGTTTCCCCCTGATTTGGTATTCTTGTGAATTGTCCTGTGCGAGACAAACAGCTTTGATTAAAAAGTGTCTTTATTTCAGCAACACACAAGTTCTGTACTATCAACTGACTAAATGCTCTGTTTCTTGTCACTCATCCAATTTTGTATCCATACTGTCATAGTCCTTTTATTCTGTGAGCTGACAAACCTACTAAGTAGAACTTTACCAAACATCTTTTGGAAGTTTGTGCATTGCACATTAGACTACACTGAATCATCAGCAGAGTGGTGGAAGGTGATGGTGCTATCACATGGCATTTCGTTGTAATTGCCTGCTCAGTTTGGGTTCTGCTGAACCACTCAGTCCCCGACTTCATTACACCCTTGGTCCAAACTTGGACAAAAGAGCTGAATTTCAGAGGTGAAATGAGAATGCCACGATATAAATTAAGAGCAGGAATAGGCCATTCAGCTCCTTAAGCCTGCTGTGCCACTCAATAAGATTGTGAGTGAGCTGATCATAGTCCCAAAATCCCACCTAAATCTCTCTAGTTCAGCTCAGGTTGTTGGTACCAGTAAGGACCGTGACCTCTAGCTGATGTTGCATTCCCCTTGGGATGCTTTCAACGATATCTTTGATCCTGGCATCAGGGTGATAACACATCATCTTGGAATGGGAAAGACAGAGATCACGGATTTCTGAAGAAGGGTCTAGGCCCGAATCATCAGCCTTCCTGCTCCTCTGATGCTGCTTGGCCTGCTGTGTTCATCCAGTTCTACACCTTGTTGTCACAGATGCTAGTGATGCCCATATCTCATGAAAGAATAATGAAACAAAATCTATAGCTGCAAAATCCTCCTGCCTATTCCGCTAAAAGTAAAATCCCTGACCGTATTTGCTTTTCCAACCTTCCTCCTGCCCCCTGTACGGCTATACTGCCTTGGCACTGCCTCAGGCTGCACTCTCTAAAGAAATTATTGTTCAGAGCTCCGTCCGCAGTCAGTAATGTACTGAGGCTGCACTATCTGCCTGGTGGCTACATACTTCCTTTACCCTTCCATTCCCTTTAGCTGAGGGTAGCTGCCTTCTGATACATGCTTGCTATCCACATAACTGTCAGCCTCATGAATGAACCGGAGTGATGCTAGCTGCTGCTCAGGCTCTGAAAACGGGAGTTCAAGCTGCTTGGACTGGATGGTAATTCCTGCACAAATGGTTGTCCCGATCGCAAGTGTCCCCAAGTTCCCACATGACGTGTACACTGAGATTTGCTGTCATGCCTCTATTAAACTGAATTGAAATAATTTAAAAGCTTCTTAAAGAATTTGAAAATAACTTACCAGCTACTTGGCATCAAGTACCGCCCCTCCTGTGTGCTGATGACATATTTTACTTCCTTGCTTTCTTGCAAACCCTCGCCCAATGTTTGTGCTGTCTTTGTTCATCCCTGAACAATTTCAGATCTACTCTACCTTCTTCTGGATTGTCCAAACAACCAGTCACCTACCTGGTGTCCTGTGAAGTCACCATTCAATATATTTTTAATGATTTGTTCTCTCAGATTTCTCCTTGCGCTCTCTCTCTCTTAAGCAAGAACAATAGATACACTTAATGCATTAATGCAAATGCAGAATCTGCTTATTTTGTCCTATACTCCACTGGTGCTGTTGTGGATTAACCTCGATGTAATTTTCTGGATGTATCAGCAGTCAATATCTCTCTCCACAGAGTATCAGGAGACGCTGAGTCGATTGGCAGCTATCCTCGCCAAGCACTTTGCTGATCCTCGAATTGTGGGAACTGGTAAGTCCTCGTTCTAGGCAGGACACAAAATTATTTTAAAGCAAAATACTGCAGATACTGAAAAACTGAAATATGAACAGAAAATCTGGGAAATACTCAGCAGGTCTGGCAACATCTGTGCAGAGAGAAACAGAGCTAATGTTTCAGTCTGATATAGCATTTCATCAGAACTGAAGAAAGATAAAAATTATAACAGTTTTTGAGTTGGTGAAAGGGATAGGGGTGAACAGGAAAAACTAAGGGGAAGGTATGTGATAGGGTGGAGAGCAAAAGAGATTAAATAACAAAAACATTTCATTACACAAAATCTAAAGAAAGTGGTAATGGGTATAACGAAGAAATAAAACATGTAATCAGATGGGGTAGAAATGGTTACACAGCCATCTGAATGCAACATCAGGGGAAGAAAAGACTAACTCAATTAAAAAAAAGAAGAAAAAAATGGAGACAGAAGACTCCGTGTTGAGTCCCAGTATCTCAATAAGGAGGAATGATTCTCAGAGAGGGATAAACCAATCATGGTTAACCAAGAAAGTTAAGGGTGGCATAAAGTTGAAATAAAAAGGATGTAAGGGGGCAAATGTCAGTAGTAGCCCCGAAGACTGGGATATATTCAGAATCCGGCAAAGGAGAACTAAAAAAAAATAGAGCGAAAATAAACAACAAGGGAAAACTAGGGAGGAATATACAAACTGACAGTATCAGCTTCTTTAAATATATATGAGAGACAGGTCAAAGTGAACATATGACCCTTAGAAAGTGAATTTGGGGAGACCAGTTTTTTTAGTTATGGGGAACAAGGAAGTGGTAAAAGCATTAAATGGATATTTTGCATCAGTCTTTACAGTGGAAGATACTTTGAACATCCCACTAATACTAAAGAATACAGGGGAGAAATTAAGTATCAGCACTAGAGAAATAGAATTGACAAACTAAGGGGTTAAGTCTACTGGCTCTGATGGCTTTTATCCTATGATCCCACAAGAATAGCTACAGAGATAGTGGTTGCATTGGTTGTAATTCTCCAAAAAAAATCCTCGGATTCTGGAGAAGTACTGGAGGATTGAAAAACTGCTAAATGTGACACCCCTGTTCAAAAAGGGAGGGAAGCAAAAAGCCGGTAACTACAGGCCAATTAGCCTAACATCTATTGTTGGAAACATATTGGAATGGATTATTAAGGAAGTAATAACAAACATTTGGAAAATCATAATCTAATCAAGCAGAGTCAGCATGGCTTCATGAAAGGGAAATTGCATCTGACTAATTTATTAGGCTTGAGGAAGTCTCAAGCAGAGTAAGCCGAGTGGATAGAGGAAAATCAGTAGATGTGTTGTATTTGGACTTCCAGAAGGCCTTCAACAAGGTATCTCACAAAACATTTAAATCGTAAGAGGCCATGATGTTGGAGGTAGTATATGGGCATGGATAGAGAGTTGGCTAATGGGCAGGAAGCAGTGAGTAGGGATAAGAGGTTCTTTTTCAGGTTGGCAACCCGTAATTGGTAGAGTTCCACAAGGATCATTGCTGGGATCATAAGTGTTTACATATGTTATTAATGACTGGTGGGTTTGAGCTTTAAGGAGAGGCTGGAGAGGTTAGGACTTTTTTCACTGGAGATTGAGGTTGGGGGGGGTGACCTTCTGGAGGTTTATATTAGCATGAAGGGCATAGATGAGGTGAATAGCAAAGGTCTTTTTCTAGGGTTAGGAAGTTATTCAAAAGGGACTTAAGGGTCAACTTTTTCACACACCTGGTGGTTTGTATGTGGAATGAACTGCCAGAGGACGTGGTAGATGCAGGTACAGTTACAACATTTAAATGACATTTAGACAGGTACATGAATAGGAAAGGTTTAGAGGGATATGGGTTAAACACAGGTATGTGGGGCTAGTTTAGTCTGGGAAACTTGGTCGGCATGGACGAGTTGGACCAAAGGGTCTGTCTCTGTGATGTATGTGTCTAAGATTTGGAGAAACAAAGCAAATATATTACAACAAAATTTGCAGATGACACTAAAGTAGGTAGAAAGGTAAGGTGAGATGGATAGAAACGGTTTGCAGAGAGTTGTTGAAAGGTTAAGTGAGTGGACAAGAAGTTGGCAAATGGAATTTAATGTGGGCCACACAAAGTTGTTGATTTGGATGGGAGAACAAAAGAAGAGCATTATTTAAATGGAGAAAAACTGCAGAAAACTCAACACAAAAAGACTTGAGTGTACTTGTGCATGAAGCAGAAAGCTAGCACTCAAGTACAGCAGGTAATTGGGAAGGCTAATGGAATTTTCGCCTATTTCAAGGGGGTTAGAGAATAAGAATAGAAACATTGAAGGTAGGAGCAGGAGGCCCCTCAAGCCTGCTCCTCCATTCGTCACAATCATGGCTAATCGTCCAACTCAATAGGCTAATCCTGCGTTTTCTTCATAACCTTTGATCCCGTTCACCCCAGTGCTACATCTAGTCACCTCTTGAATACTTCGATGTTTTGGCATCAACTACTGCCTGTGGTAATGAATTCCACAGGCTTGCCACACTTTGAGTGAAGGAATGTCTCCTCATCTCTGTCCTAAATAGTCTACCCCGAATCCTCAGACTGTGACCTGGTTCTGGACACACCCACCATCGATAACATCCTCCCTCCATCTACCCTGTCTAGTCCTGTTAGAATTTTATGAGTCTCTATGAGACACACTCCACATTCATCTGAACTTCAGCAAAAATAATTCTAACCTAGTCAATCTCTCCCATACGTCAGTCCCACCATTCCCGGAATCAGCCTGGGTAAACCTTTGCTGCACTCCTTCGAGAGCAAGAGCATCCTTCCTCAGAAAAGGAGACTAAAACTGCACACAATATTCTAGCTGTGGTCTCACCAAGGCCCTGTAAAACTGCAACAATACATTCCTGCTCCTGTACTTGAAACCTCTCGCAATGAAGGCCAACATACAATTTGCCTTCTTTACTGCCTGCTGCACCTGCATGCTTACCTTCAGTGACTGGCGCTCAAGGACACCCAGGTCCCACTCATAAATCAATGCTGACTCTGTCTGATCCTGCCGTTGTTTTCTAACTGTTCTGCTATAAAGTCCTTGATAATGGATTTGAGAATTTTCTCCACTAGGGAAATCTTACTGCAAATACACGTGCTGGTGAGACCACATTTGAAGTACTGTGACCAGTTTTGGTTCCCTTTATTTAAAAAAAGATATTATTTCATTGGAGACAGTACAGAGATGGCTCACCAGGATGATCCCTGGTATGTCTTGTGAGCAAAGGCTAAACAGATTGGGACTTTACTGCTTGGAGTTTAGAAGAATAAGTGGTGATCTCATTGAAAAATGTTGGATTCTTAAGAGGCTTCACAGGGTAAATATTGAGACAGTTGCCCTCATGGGAGAGACTAGGACCAGAGTGCATAGTCTCAGAATAAAGATGTGCCAATTTAAGACTGAGATGAGGAATTCCTTTTCTCACAGGGTTGTGAGTCTTTAGAATTCCTTGCCAAAGAGAGTTGTGGGGACAGAGTCCTTGTATTTAAGGCTGAGATAAACAGATTCTTGATGAGTAGGGAATCAGCGGTTACGGAGGAAGGGCAGAAAATGAACATGAGAAATGTCGGAGCAGTCATGATCCTATTGAATTGTGGAGCAGGCTCAAGAGGCTGAATAGTTTATTCCTGTTCCAATTTTCAATAACTTTGGGTCTTTTTTTTGGACAATTCACAACCTTTCCAGATTTTTTATGAGCCACAGCAACTCTGTTTTAATTCTCCATATTGCTCTTACTCTGACTTTTCTGTCTATGGTTTGCTACAGTTTACGTAAGAACAACATAAGAACATAAGAACTAGGAGCAGGAGTAGGCCGTCTGGCCCTTCGAGCCTGCTCCGCCATTCAATAAGATCATGGCTGATCTCTTCGTGGACTCAGATCCACTTGCCTGCGTTCTCACCGTAACCCTTAATTCCTTTATTGTTCAAAAAAAATCTACCTTTTCTTTAAAAACGTTTACTGAAGTAGTGTCAACTACTTCACTGGGCAAGGAATTCCATAGATTAACAACCCTCTGGGTGAAGAATTTCCTCCTCAATTCAGTCCTAAATCTGCTCCCTCTAATCTTGAGGCTATCAATGAAGCTCATGCAAGCTCAAGGAATAGCATCTCACCTTTCTACTCAGCATTCACTAACCTTCCAAATGACATAAAGATCAGAAGACCATAAGAAATAGGAACAGGAGTTGGTGGTTAGGCCCTTCACGCCTGTTCCACTGTTCAGCGAGATCATGGCTGATATGTGGCTTAACTCCATATACTTGCCTTTGGCCCATATACCTTAATAACTTTGCTTAACTAAAATGTATCTATGTCAAAATCAAAATTAACAACTGATCCAGCATTCACTGTCATTTGTGGAAGAGAGTTCCAAATCTCTACCACCCTTTGTGAGTAGAAATGCTTCCTAACGTCTCCTGAATGGTCGGGCCCTAATTCACAGGCAGTGCATCTTAGGCTTGGAGTCCCAAACCAATGGAAATAGTTTATCTACCCTGTCTTTTCCCGTTAATATCTTGAAGACTTCAATCAGATCACCCCTTAACCTTCTATATTCTAGAGAAAAGAGGCTGAATTTGTAAAACCTGTCCTCATAACTTAACCGCTGAAATCCAGGTATCATCCTTGTAAACCTACATTGTACTTCTTCCAAGGCCAATATATCCTTCCTAAGGGGCAGTGCCTGGATCTGCTGTCACTACTCCAAGTGGGGCCTAACCAACTTTTGTATAACTACAGGATAACTGCTGCAACCTTATACCCCAGCCTTCTAGATATAAAGGCCAGCATTCCATTAGCCTTCTAATTATTTCCTGCACCTGTTCATGGCATTTTATATATCTATGCACCCGGGTCCCCAAGTCTCTTTGAACAGTCACTTAACTTCATGCCATCTAGAAAGTATCCTGACCTGTTATGGAATTTTATAAACATGGGGATGAATGTTTTGATTGGAATTCCCAATCTTTTCTGATGTTTTTTTGTTACCCAACTTCCACCTGTTTCTCTCTACAGCTGTTTGCCTTACTTTGACTGTAACCGAGCACTAGGTTTCGCTGTCCTCCTGCCTGATTCTATTCCATTGTCAACACCAATTGGCTCCTTTGGAGACAGCCAGAACAACAACAGTCATTCGCTGACTAGCCTGCCAATCAATAAATAAGGTCAGGCAGAATGGGAGTAATCACCTTATGGAGAAGACAGCATCTGAAATTATGCTGCACATCTATAGTTGGGATCCACTTGCTCCATTATTTGCGTGAGGTCCACTGAAGATTTCTTGGAAGCGTCATGGAGTTTTGTTTTACTAAAGGTGCAGGAACCCTGGTTAACTGATGGGTGTCAGGAAGCTCTGGGTCAGGCTTGCAGACTAAATGAAGGGGTTCTGTAAAGCGGTCACCCACTCTGCTTTTGATCTCCCCACTGTAGGGGAGACCATGTTGTGAGCAGACTAAATTGAAAAAAGTACAAGTAAGTTGTTTCAATTGTGTTTGGAATGTTGGATGGTGCCAAGAGCGGAAGTAAAGGGACAGAGTTGCATCTTCTCTGTTTGCACAGGAATGTGTCATAAAGGAACAGGATGGTGGGGTGACTGACGAATGGACCAGAGTATCACCAAAAAAAACAGTCCCTTTGGAGTGTTGGAAGGGAGGGCAGGGAAGATGTGGAATTGCACTAGAGCTGGTGAAAATGCTGGAGGAAGATCTGTTGAATATGGAGACTTGGGTTGGAAGTTAAGGACAAGGGGAATCCTATAATGTCTCTGGAAGGAATGGAGAGGGTGAGAGATTACGGTCTGACTCACATCGGACACTGGGCCCTGCCAGCCGTGCTGGATGAGAAACCTTGATTGAGGAAGTCGATAGATGTGTCTGAAGCACTTTTGTAGAATGTTGCAAACCCCAAACAAATGCAACCAAGATAAAGAAACTGGGAGAATGAAATAGAGTCCTTACAGGAAGTGCGAGGTGAGGAGGTGTAGTCAAGAGATGAGCCTGTCGTGTCAGTTGATAGACTATCTCCAGAAACGGATACATGGACGATCATAAAAGGAAGAGTCCGGGATAGACTAGGTGAAGGTTAGACAAAGGTGAAAATTGGAAAGAAAGTTACTAGAATTTTCCAGTTCTTGAGAAGAGCAGGAGGCAGCATCAATCTACTATAAAAATAAAGAATGAGAGACAGAGCCTGAGTAAGACTGGAATAAGAATTGTTCCATGTGTTGGCAGATTTCAAACCCATAACAACACCTTTTATTTGGGGTAAGTGATTGGAGTTGATAGAAGTTGTTTGCAGTTGGAACAAGATTAGCTGGGCAGAGGAGGGTGGTGGTGGTAAAAGGACTGGTTGGTTCCCTTTTTGAAAATTATTTAGAATTTTCAATTATTTATTCGTTTAAAATGCTCCATCTTTTAATATTACAAAATGAGAAGGTTTCAGGACCAGCAAGCAATTTGAGCTCTGGGCACTACTGAGGAGATACTTTGCTTCTTGCCTAGTTACTCGGACCTGAGCTTCAGTTAATCATGGATGTGAAACTCTTGGGGATTCCCAGCTGCATTTGGAGGCAGCTTGAAGAAAGAAACAGTGTATAAAAATATTATGACCATACGATGGGAAAGGAAGACCATGGTCTATCGAGCCTGCCCTTTTGTTTCAAGGCTTTTGGTGTTACCATGGTATTGGCTACACCACCTTTAAGAGTCGCTGCAACAACAATGCTTCAGTGTCTAGAGAAAGGGATTGTGTTGATTATTACAACCTTTGAACAGCTCTGATGGATTCACTAAAATGAACTGACTAAATAGACCCTGCCTCAGTCTGTAACTTAATTCAATTGTATCATTTCAGCCCAGATGAATTAGGTTGAACTTTCCTCCTTCAGTGAGCTTTTCCTGAGTAAAAAAAATTGGGTGGTCTATTTCCTTAAGAAGCATTTAGACAGACACATGAACAGGTAGGGAATAGAGGGATATGGACCACGTGCAAGCAGGAGGGTTTAGTTTAGCGTGGCATTATGGTCAGCACAGACATGGTCAGTCTGTTCCTGTGCCATACTGTTCTATGTTCTATGTAACTCCTGTATCTAACTGCTATTGATGTAGGGACTACACTTATACCACAGCTGGAGTGTCAGTGTGATGTAGCTTTGCTTCGTATTCACACTAAAGTTGTAATGTGTGTCCAGTATCATAACCTGACCCAATTCATGGCTATGCTGGGCCCAGACCCTGCATTAATACTGCATGTTATTATTTGGGACATCTTATTGCAATATAGCTTTTATATTAGTACAAGTTGATATTATTGACACTTCCATTACTGTATGAAATGGCATTCTAACAGAGATCAGTGGAAAAACTGACATACTTATCAAGAAGTGCTGTAAGTGCCTTTGTGTTTAAGTATATTACTTAATTCAAAGAGGTTTTACCCTGCATGTAGCCAGTACCATGTCTTATGAGTGAATGTTTGATGGGACAACATAGAGTAAGCTTTGATCTTTATCTGTGCCTATTTTGGGACTGATTGATCCTGGCAGAAGTAAAATATTTTCAGTATTCTTTCATGATGTACCTCATGCCACCTCAGGCAATAAAGCCCTTTGACTTGATTCACTCTCTCTCACCTCTAGACATTAAGGATTCACTGATGCAGGCTCTTGCCAGCTATGTCTGCTACCCCCACTCCCTGCGAGCTGTTGAACGTATTCCAGAGGAACAGTAAGTGCAAAAGGCATTGGTTATTGTGTGTGCAAAGAAACTTATGAAGTGCAGCATTTCAAACTGATCTGTCAAGATTGGAAAAAGGAGGAATTTAATGGAGACCCTGGGATAGAAGCGATCAGGTCCTGGGCATTTGTCAGGTTTTAGTCCTTTAAGCTTCTCCAATATTTTTTCTGTATTAACTAGCTTAGGTTTTTCTCTCTCTTAGTCCCATGCTTATCCCACCTCCTACTTCTGGGATATAATTTGTGTCTTTTACTGAGAAGCCAGACAGCAAGTACTTATTCAATGTCTCAATGATTTCCTCATTTCCTATGATAATTTCTCCTGTAACATTTATTTCAGCTATCTGCTTTTTTTTCTATACCTGTATAAGTTCTTGCAGTCTGATTTTACATTCCTGCCTACTTTACTTTTATATGCTTTTTATTCCAAATTTTTTAATCTGCTTGGCTCTTTGGCTTCTAAAACGCTCCTAATCTTTAGGCTTATTATGATTCTTTGTCACATTATAAGCCTCATCTTTTAATCTAATAATATCTGTACCTCTTTATTAAGTTAAAGATGAATCTTTCTTGCTGAGATTTTATTTTTAATGGAATGTGCTTTCGTTGAATTATTATTACTATTGTTAGGGCCCTCTAAAATTCTCTCTCCAGCATTTTCTGATCATTGTTATTTTCTAATCTCCACCATGATATTCTGATCCTAGATCCTTTCTCACTTCTGTCCTTCTATTGTCCTTCACTATCAGGGCTACTCGTCCACCTTAAGCATTCTTGTCTGTCTTTTCAGAATTATTTCCCAGCTTGATCGTCTTAAGATTATGTCTTTGTAATAGTGATTCGATCTAAATCATTCATCTCTATTTGTGCCACTAGTTTATCAGTCTTATTGAAAATATTTCATGGATTCAGATAAGGAGCCTTTAAGTTTCATTTTTTTTCCTACTCTCTGTTGCATGGATCTTTATGTCCTGATTCATAATTTCCATTAAATTCTGTGTCCCTCTTATCCCACTGTTCTTGTCTTCATCTGAATTGCTTAAGTGCCATGTTGCTTTGATCCTTTTCTTTAGCTTTCTAAATTTTTCTTCACCTGAGCTTTCTCCCCTTTTGATTTAAAGATCTATCCTTAATCCACATTGAACAATTTACCAAGAGATGGGTGAAGCAAATACGTAATGTGTGGCATTTAATAGGAATTCAGCAGTGATAGTGTTGTGGTTTTAATTTAGGTCAAAGGGGTTATCATTTTGCATTGTCTATCAGTGTGTCTTATCTTGTCTATCGGATAAGAGATGGGAATGCGAGCCTACACCCTGATTCATGTTGTCAGTCGATGGCTAACAGAAATTCCAGTCATCACAAACTGAAGATAACAGGAGTTGTTTGGTAGCTCTACGTTTAATGAATTCTTCCAAATTGATTCCAAAATAGACTAAAGCATGTGACTTCAATCTTAGAAAACCTGAAGAAAAGAAATGGCAGCTACAGAACAAATATCAGGGAATAGCAAGCTTTGATACTTTGATGTATCATAATGGCAGTATTTGAGGGTATGAGTTTTCATGAATTTTTTATTTCTATGGAACTATGATGTGCCACTCATGATTGCAGTGGAAACATTTTTCACCAAAGCATGTTTCACAGATATTGTTTGGTTTTCTGAGTAAGCAACATTGTGTTTATTAGCATTACTTAGAATATTCAGCAAAAAAGAAGAGGACATTTGGCCCAATCAGTCCATGGTGATTTACATTCCACTTGAGGTCTTCAGTATTTAAGTCTGTTATCATGTCACCTCTGCCTATTGAGTTCCACCGTCACCTATACTATCTGGCTCAACCAGTCCCTACAGTAATGAGTTTCACAATCTACCCTCTCAGTAAAGAAGTTTCTGCTGAATTTCCTATTTGGTTTCTCAGCAACCACCTTACATTGATGGCAAGTTTTGCTCTTTCCACAAGAAGAAACAGGCTGTATCAAAACCTTTCAAAATATTGAATCTGAACGACCACAACTCAGTCTTTTTGTTGAAAAGCACCACTGCACCAAAATTATTGTCTGATTGCTGCACAAAGTATAGTTTCATCTCAGGTGTTTCAAGCTGACCGTTGAATGCATAAAAACAGCAACACTTGTAGCTGTTTCATCAACATTGAGAGTCTAAATCCACAACTTTTCATGTTCTCACATTACATTATTACCACTATCAACACTTTTACTGACACAACTGATGGGCTGCTAGTGAATAATGTTAGCTTGGAGTAACTGAGTTTTGTGCCTTTGCTTTTGCAGACGTGTGGCCATGATGAAGAATCTTCTAGCTCCATATGAACAGCGCCCATGGGCTCAGACCAACTGGATCCTTGTGCGACTCTGGAGGGTACATTTGCCTCTTGCATTTTTTAAAAGTGCTCATCACATTAAACAGTTTTTCCTTCTTATTCGTTTGTGATAAACTTGCATATTTGTACATTTTGACACAGCATGGATTTATGGAAGTCTAGGATCAGAGGGCATATTCTCAGGATAAGGAGTTGCCCATTTAAGACAGAGTTGAGGAGGCATTTCTTCTCTCAGATGGTTGAGGATTTTGGAGGCTGGGTCATTAAGTATGTTCAAGGACAGATTTTTAGTCAGTAAAGGAATCAAGGGATATGGGAGAAAGACAGGAATCTGGATTTGAGGATTATCAGATCAACCTTGGTTTTACTGGATGACAGAGTACTCTCAGTGGACTGAAAGGCCTACTTCTGCTCCTGTGTCTTTCAGTCTTGTGGAAATTGTGTTTGACAAACCTAATGGACTTTTTTGAGGGCATAACTAGTTGAATAGATGAGGAAGAATCAGTGGATGTGCTGTATTTGGACTTCAGCAAACTTTTGACAAAGTCCTCCTTAGAGGTTGTTACGCATAATCCAGGCAAGTTAGATTGTAGGTGACATACTGGCATAGATGAGAATTGGCTATCAGACAGGAAACCATAGGAATAAATGGAACGTTTTCAGCATGGACGGCATAACTAGTTGTTGCTGCAGGAACTAGGCCCAAGCTGTTCACAATTTATATCAACAGTTTGGATCAGGGAATCAAATGTAAGATTTCGAACTTTGCTGACAACATAAAACTAGGTGGGAGATGACTAGTGAAGAGAATGTAAAGAGGCTTCAGGGCTATTTAGATAAGTTAACTGAGAAATACATGACAGATCAAGCATAATGTGGAGGTTAGGTGGATTGGCCATGATAAATTGACTCGTAATGTGCGGGGAAGTGGGTGGGATGCTCTTCGGAGGGTTAGCTTACACTCGATGGGCCGAATGCACTGTAGGGATTCTATGATCTATGATCTCAATGGTGACGGATTGGGAAATGTTGATGTTAAAGGTGAACCAGGTATCGTTTACACCAGTGACTGAAAGCAAGCAAGCAGTTAGGAGGGTAAATGAAATGTTGGCCTTTTTTGCAAGAAGATTTGAGTACAGGAGCAAGGAATTCTTACTGCAACCTGTACAGGGTCTTGGTGATATCATAGATGGAGTATTTAATGCAGTTTTGATCTCCTTACCTAAGAAAAGATATACTCAGCTGTGAGGAAGTGCAGCGAAGGTCCCCTGGCTGATTCCTTGGATGGCAGGATTGTTATGAAGAGAGATTGGGTTGATTGAGTCTATATTCACTGGAGTTTAGAAGAAAGAGGAAGGAACTCAATTTGATTTGATTTATTGTTGTCATATGTACCTAAGTACAGTCATTTTTTTCGGCATGTAGTAAGGGCAGGTCATAACATACAAGGACATACAGATCATAGGGTGATTTGAACAGAGTGAGGCATACAAAGTTATGGCTGCACAGGAGGTGTACAAAAGCAAGATCAACATTAGATTTGAAATTTGACAGATCATCTGAGAACTCATTGAGACATCTAACAGGGCTGGACAGACAGGCTGATGTATCCCCTGCTAAGGGTCCGGAGTAAGAGGTGATGGTCTCAGGATATGCAGGAGGCCAATTAGGACTGAGATGGGGAGAAATTTCTTTACCCAGAGAGTGATGAGCCTGTGGAATTCTTGACCACAGAAGGGTGTGGATGCTTGGTTACTAACTATATTTAAGAAAGGAATAGATTTCTAGTAGCTAAAGGTGTCAAAGTGTATAGAGTCAGAATGGGAGTATGATGTTGAGGTAGAGGATCAACCATGATCCTATTGAACAGCAGAATGGGCTCAATAGATTAAATGGCCTACGCATGCTCCTATTTTCAGTGTTTCTTTAATCTTTTAAACAGAAACATTGTAGGGAAATGTTTCATGTATAATTATTTCATAGCCTCATCATACTGATGTAGTTATCTTTTTAAACTCTAAAATTAATTTGATCAATGATCTGGAGCAAGGAGTGACAATCTCAGGATAAATTTGCACATGGTACAAAGTTAATGAAGGTAGCAGAACTAAAGATGAATGGGGAAAGCTAGAGGAAGACTTCAGTGTACTTGGACTCTCGGCAGACAAATGGCAGGTAAATTAGGTGTAAACGAATGCAGAGTACCTCACCTGAGAGCAGAATATCCTGGATAATTTGTTGAATGAGAGGAAACACTGTGCTTGGAAAGTATAAGATCGGGAGTCCTGATGGACAGTAAGTGGAAACTGCTACAACAGCGTTTAGGCACCAGGAAAAGAAAATCATACATTGGAGAAAATTAGAAGGTCAATATTGTGGGCCTAGTTAATGACATAATCCTAACAATTTACAGTGCAGTTCAACCACAGTATTCTAAAAAGGTATAGTTTTTATTGCCATAGTTTAGAAAGGATACTGCTGTTAATTGCATATCAGTTGGGTGTGAATAGTAATTGAATGATGGATATCGAATGGGGATTCATCAGTGTTGATACATAGTGTTGGTTAGAGGTGCTCAACATGCAATTTGCATTTTTGTAAATAAAACATTCTGCATAAAGATGAAGCTTCAGTGTTGTATCTTTCACCATCTGGCTGTCTGAGTTATACCAGTTGCAGCTACTGATAAATTATGGACAAGAGCAACACAAGTGATGAGGGAATGGCAGGATCTGAATATGAGGAGCAATTATGTAAACGGAGCTCTTACTGGAAAAGAGAGGATTCAGAAATTATAAATTGCTATTTTTAGGATTCTCAAAGACCTAGATATGTAGATCATGGTAAGCAGTTTCACCTTGGCCTGAATATAAAAACAGATGATGCAGACTCCATTTGAAGCGTGGAAAGGATTGCGGCACTGGTGGAGGATATTTGGCCCAAACAGTTCATGCTAGTGGAGCAAGAACTATCTATTCAAATCCCACCTTTCAACTCTTGCTCTGTAGCCCTGTAGTTACATCAGCTCAAGAACATATTTTTAAATATGATGAGGGTTCTGCCTTCAGGCCATGAGTACCTGATTTTCACGATCCAATCACAATCCTCTGTAATCCTTCCACAAATTACTGAGTTCCCTGGATATTGATGTCATTGCAAGTAGAAATGCCTACCTGCTATATCCAGGCCTCTCAATTTTCCACGCCTCAATTAAATGTTGGCCAGGGAACACAGTGGTGTGTCAAAGTGGCAGGCAATTGGAAACTCAGGGTTTTTTTTTTACAGACGGAACATAGGTATTCTGCAAAGCAGTCACCCAGTCTGCGCTTCATCTCCTTAATGTAGAGGAGGCCACATTGTGAACAGTGAATATAGTAGACTGGATTGGCTAAAGTGCAGGTAAAGCGATGTTTCACCTGGAAGTGTGTTTGGGGCCATGGATGGCGAGGGGGCAGGTTGCATGGAGGTACCCAGGGAGTTGTGGGGAGGTGTTTGGAATGGAGGAGTAGTGGACCAAGGTGTCCTGGAGGGATTAGTCCCTGCAGCAGTGTGACAAGGGAGAGGAGGGGAATATGTGTCTGGTGACAGCACTCTGCTGGAGGTGGTAGTAATAGTGGCTTGTGATCCTGTGAATGTGGATGCCAGTACACTGCAACGTGCGGAACAGGGTTACCCTATTGTTGCGGGAGAGAAGAAAATGGAAGTGAGTAGAAGTGTGGGAGAAGGTTTGAACGTGGCTAAGGGCCCTGTTGACCCAGGTGGTGGGAATTCTCGGTTGAGGGAAAAGGTGGGACATATCAGGGTCCCCGCTGTGGAAGATAGAATCATCAAAACAGATCTGACCGAGATGGAGAAATGTGGGATTGGAGTTGAGTCTTTATAAGAAGCAGGGTGTGAGGATATATAGTCCAGGTAACTGTGAGAGTCAGAGAGCTTGTCATGGATAGCGGTGGCCAGCCTATCTCCAGTAATAGAAACAGAAATATCAAGGAGGGAAGGAAGGAATCAGAGAAGAACCAGATGAAGGTGAGAGCAGAGTGGAAATTGGAAACAAATTTGATGAATTTTTCCAATTCCAAATGAGAGAGGGAAGCAACAGTGATGATGCGATCGATGTACCAGAGAAAGTGTTGTGGGTGGGGACCAGACTAGAACTGGAACAAGGAATGTTCGATGTAGCCCACAAAGAGACAGGCATAACTAGGGCCCATCGGGTACCCATGACCACCCCTTTGGTCTGAAGGAAGTGAGAGGAGTTAAAGAATAAGTTGTTCAAAGTGAGGACAAGTTCGACCAGGAGGAGGAGGGTGGGGGTGAATGGGGACAGTTCAGGCTTTCTTTCTGGAAGAAGTGGAGATTCCTGAGACCATCCTGATGGGGGATGGATTTGTAAAGGAATTATTTGTCCATGGTGAAGAGAAGGTGGCTGGAGCCCACAAACTGGAAATTTTGAAATCCACGTAAAGTGTCAGAAGAATCAAGGATGTAAGTGGAGAGGGACTGGACAAGGGGAGAAACATTATGCCAAGGTAGGAAGAAGTAAGTTCTGTGAGGCAGAAACAGGCAGAAACAATGGGTCTGACTGGACAGTCCTGTTTGTGGATTTTGGGGAGAAGGTAGAAGTAGGCTAAATAGGTTTGGGAGGGGCGGGGGTGTGGGGTGCATCTCTGCTGGGGTGCAGTCGGAAGAATATCCTCAGATGAGATGAGGTTGGTGACAGTTGTGGACACAATGGCCTGATGCTGGATGGTGAGGTCACGTGCGAAATAGAGCCAGCAGGAGATGTCCAAGAGCTGGCACTCAGCCTCTGCAATGTAGAGGTCAGTACGCCAGACAACAACAGCACCACTGTAGTCAGCAGGCTTAATTACAAAGTCAGGTAAGATCTGTGAGCACAGAGTGCACTCAGTTCAGAGGGAGATAGGTTTGAATGGGTGAGTGGAGTAGAGAAAGTAAGGTAACCAATGTCACCTTTTTTTTTCCTCCTTGTCTTGTGTATATGCTCTGTTGTAGATTAATTTGATAAAAGTTAATTACA